AAAAAAAACAAAAACAAAAGAAAGTTATTTTCTTCTTTTTTTAATGATCTTTCTCCTTCTGTTGATCTGTCACACAGAATACAATTAGAAGACTTTGGGCTTTTTCATTCTTATAGAAAACTTCTGCAAAGCAGTTTCAACTGACAGCTAGATAATGAGCTCTTTTCATAATAGTTTTGCTTGATTTCTTACTTGCTGACAGTTCTTAATAGAATAAACCCATTAGGAAAATGACAGAGAACTTCTGAAGTCATGGTGTCAAAAAGGCTGTAATGATTTAAGTATTATAAAGCTATTATTGATTCATACTTTGCAAGTAGACTAAAGCATTCAGCTTTTTTATTCGCTGTTATCCTAAAAACATAAAAAAGAAAACTGGATCATGTTGAATAACAACCAAATTCCCACAATTACATACGTTGTGTTATTTTTTGTTAATCAAGCAGATATCAACACTATGTATGACTCTTTATACAGTGTGGTGTTACTCTTTAGTTATGTTTCATGTGGAGTTATCCAACAATTTTTTGTATAATTTTTACATTTATCATGTATTTTTTCCTGTAAAAAAATTGGTTCCTGTCAAAACATTTCTGAGATAAATGTGTTTAGATCATGTCCCCCCGTTTCAAGGCTTCTGTGCAACAGTTTGTTCCGGTACTATCCTCTGCAAACAGTATGTATGTCATAACAGAAACAGGCCAGTGCTGGTAAAGAAAACCACAGTGTCGAAAGAGTGAGATTCCCAAAATAAGATAAAGTAACAGAGGCTTTATCTGGGTGAGTTTATCGGGCTGAGGCTGGGGGGTGGAGGGGGGTTGTCCAACCCACATCCTGCTCCAAACATTTGACACAAGAACAACTTCAATACACAGACACACCCAAACTCCTTTGGCCCTCTTCCTGGGCTGGTTGGGTTTATAAGCAGAGCCAGAAACTCCTGGATGGAGCAGCAGCACTGGATCAACTCCACCAACCAGCAGCTTCTCTCTAAAACTCCAACCGAGGTGCGATCTCAAAGCAGATCTCCATCTTAGCCTCTAAAACCTGACTGGTGAGTAGATACGCCATTTTACTGCAAATTTAGTCGCTTTTTATTTTACAGTGGCTTAATGAGAAGATGCTAATGCAATTACAGAAACAGTTGAGAGTGACTTCAAAAAAGTTAACTGAATGCTTTTTGCAAATCTGTGCCACAATAATTCAAAATCATGACTTTAAAAAAAGAAAAAATGCCTATCTAAACACATTATAAAATGAATTTCACGAGCCAGCAGAGATATCTTCAGAATTGCATTTTATTGCAGCAACAAAAGCAGACATTCCTCATCTTAAATTATGAAAATATGTGTTTAACTTAGAGCAGATGCTCTTCTATGATGGAACAGATTTTTTTTCTCTATGGAAAATGGGAGGGGGGGGGGGCTGCTATGAGTTTTATGATGAAAAATTGCACAAAAACCAATTTATTAAAGGCTGGAGAATATCCTTTTTCTTATAAAGTTGTTTTCATGAAGTATTTAGTCTTTATCAAAAAAAAAAAATCAATAACAGTTATGCCTTGTAGGAATTTCATTTTTCTTTTGGCTTTTAATTAATGTATAAAATTTAATCATTATCAAAAGCACTTTTCAAAGTGTTTTTCAATATACATATATATCTATATTAACTGATGCCAAAACAGTATTAAATACTGTTATTTACCTTTCTAACATCAAATATGGTGAATGCCTTATAATACAAATCTACTTGCTTTGCAACAGTAATTGTGGTGATTTCTCACCAAAAAAATGAAAACATTCTTGTTGTAGAGGCAGTTCCACAAATATGTGCTTTCTGCTCAATTTTTTACACACTTTTTCTTATAAAGCACAAAACAAATGCATTGATTTGCCTTTGATGCCAAGCAAAGCATGAACAAAGTTTTTTTAATATTAACAAACCCCTAAAACTCACATATTACATTTTACATGTATGACAGAGGAGCAAGTATAAGAGCAAAAGATAAACATTTTTAAATGGTGCAAGAAAAAACAAGGATCAACAAGCATGACATCAAGGAGAAAGACTTGATTTTAATGTAATTAGTAACTGAACTGAGAAATAAATAAAAGGGAAGTTGATGTAAAACAGGTGTTTAACAGCTGAGGGGACGGTAGAGAGAAATTCAACAAACACAACTAAAAAATAAATAAATTTAGGGAAATCCAACGACAAACACAGGAGTGTAAAAACAAAGCTCCATAAGACAATAAGAAATTACAGAATATTATACATTTGCACAAATAATTTCAATATTGAGATCTTAAAAAAAAAGAGGCCAAATTCTGGTATATACATGCATGGTATCTGGATTCTAAAAAAGAAGCATAAAATAGGAACCCACATTGCACAACTATTGATTTCACCAAAAACCTCTGCAGAAATGTACACTTCAGGTTTTTATCCACATCTTTAGTATCCTTTTCCTGTTTTTTTGTTTAATTTTTAAGAAATAAATCTTTAAAGTAATCTTGTCAAAGTAAATCACAGAGACAGAGAGAACAGTTAAAGCTGGCAAAGAAAATCAGAGCTAAGTTAAAATGAGGAAGTTATGTCCCCTTGAAGGCAGTTGCGCCTCGGGACTTCCCTTCCGGTTCTTTTCCTGGGAGCAAGTTGTTTACTACTCTACACTCAAACTGGGTAAAACCATATAAAAAGTACTATAAAAACAGGAGTAAAAAAGTAACAGAGTTTATTCCAGATCAGGCCGTTACAGGACAGAGAAAAATGCTTGGAGCTTGCACAGCTGTGGGTTCAAAATTCACGTCCGCGAGCGTCCGGCAAAGTTTGAGCCCCGAACAAGGTCATCTCCTGCTTCTTATAGCTCATGAGTCTATGTGTTGCACCAGAAACTGACATGCCATCCAAGCCTCAAGATTACAGATAGCTCTCCTCTATAAGTCAGGCTCCAAGATGTGCCCATATCTTGTGTATCTTTAAAAGACAGGAAAGCTGTCCTATTTAGATGACCAACTTACACAAAGTGACATCCGCAATGTGAAGGAAGGCCATCTACTCTCTCTATCTGGCTAACAAAGTAACAATGCACATAATGTATAAAAGAATAAACCTAACAACTTTAATTAGTAATACTCTGTTCTTCTTTTGAATTTGATGCCAGTTAACCTGCATTAACAAGTAACTACGCCTGCTGGGGGGAAAATCAATTTCTAATTCTGAAAGATCAGGTTTTTATTTTCTGCATTTTAACTAAACAGACACACAGACTCTGATTGTGCTCAACATCTTTGTAAATGTGTCTAAAACTTTGTACTCTGATGAAGGTAATACCATTTAACAGGTAGTTTAGCTAATCCAAAAATAGTTTAGATGACCTAATGTCAAACCTGCCATTGACTTAATTAATGTCAGGTTTTAAATGTACCCCAGTTTGTTAAACCACCAGGCAGGGCAAACAAAGAGCAACAGTATCTTCTGTGTGATTCATCAAATCCAGAGAACCTGAAGCATGGCTAAAATGACCTCAACTCGCATGGGGTTCACATATTTCCAGCTGGCAGTGGAGGCCAGATGGGCACGAAGCCGCAGCGTTGATGATGACAGGAATACGTTCCCAGTTTGGAGAAAACCGTCGAACAAATAAAAGCTGTTTTCATTTCATGCAGGGCGCTCTCAGCTTCCAGCTGGTGTGGCAGACACCTGGCTGAGAGTTAGAGCAGCTGTTATATAATGTGGGTGTTACACAGAAAGAGGGTTGGGGCGAAGTTTGGATGCATTAGTCATCATTTAACACAGTGAGAGCTCTGTTTTCTAACAAAACAAAAAAAAAAAAAAAAAACACTAGATCCACATTTATGGACTCTATGGGATGCCTTGGCATAGTGGGGGAAATATACAGACAGAAGCTTTCATTTGGTTAAACATTCGTAAATAATAACAAATAAAAGTCTAATTTCTATAGCAGAACCAAATACTGCAAGTTTGACTGGGATTTTTTTAGACTGAAGTCAAACAGGACAAAAGACTACGTCATAAAGAGACTACATGCGTCTGTAAAAACTCGTCTGCTGTCAAAAGATGCAAATGCAGCTTTCAAAGACACCTTATAGCAGAACAGAGACACTAATTATTTTCAGTTCATCTGAGACCTCTATGGTCCTTCTGAGAGAAACCTGGGTTTCTGTATTGGTTTAAAGAAAACAGAAACACAATAGACAGACTTGTCTAAAAGTACTTAAACCCCAGGAAGTTTCTAATTTTTGGCTACGCTACAAAATGAAAGTTTCAATATTTATCTATTTTAAATCATGAACCAAAACAAAAGCTTAATTGTAAGGGAAACGGGAGAGGAACTATCCTTTTCTTGTGTTTGCAGAGTTTTATTAAAATATTTTACAACGTATATTACTACCAACTCTGCATATCTAGCATGTTGCTCATTCTTCTTTGCATTAGAAGCTGTCAGATTACATAAGAGCATCACTAAATTGGACTTTGACTCAGTCATTCTAACATACATGGTTTGACCTCAGATTATGCCTCTGTTAGTCTGGCTCTATGTTTAGATTTGTTTTCTTGCTGGAAAATTAACCCCTACCGCCATGATTTAGGAAAGTCTTTTACACCTACCTATAAAATCTTAATACATTACCCACATCTCCACAGATTGATGCTGAAATCACTATGTGACATCCTCAGCAGTTGTTTTTTGTGATACAAGTATTTTGCATACTTGCCTAAAAGTTCCGTTTTGGAAAAATCAGACCAAAGCATCTTCTTTAACGTTGAAACCCATTACCAATTATGGCTTTCTGTTATCATTGGCCTTCCTTCTGCCTCTTTCACATAAAAAGGCCTGAGCGCAAATGTAATTTTCCTGTTGACACATTCTGCTGTCTATTTCTTTGCCTTGCCAGATAGCAAACATAGGTGGCCATTTCTTAGCAGCCATTAATACTAATTTAGACTTTTCCTAAATTTTCTCCTTGCCTAGTTTGGTTTCTTACTTGAAGTTAATGATAATGTTTGTTCATTTAAAATTCTCTAAAAAACAAACAAAACAAAAAAAATAAAGATTTAATAAAACAGTTAGGTTATTATATGATTAAGCTATAAACAAGGGACTTTTTTGCTTATTACATGATTGTCTTGCCAGTTTGTTCTTCTAAGTTTTATTTTGGGGGAGGGTAAAAATGTCCCGCAGCAAAAAGATTTATCTGTCAAGCCCTTTTGGAACCATGTGTCATTTTATTTCACAATGAAATAATACTATCAATGCTGCTAAAAGAAGTTAAAGCTGCTGCAGAAATTTCGACATTAATTTCTCTATAGCACAACTTGCTGCTGCAGGAAGTTAAACATTTTTATGAGTTGTGTTGACTACGTTACCCTGTTGCAAATTCTCTCACGGATAAGCATTTATAAGATGTTAAATTAAACCTATAATGGTTTTATTTTATTTTTTTTTCAATCTTTTTTGCATGTTTCATGAATTTGATGGTTTATCATGAGTAAATAGTGCATATTGATGCAACATCCTCTCTTCTCTGACAACCAAACAAAAGAAAACACAATACTTATTAACAAGCACACATTTGGAGTTCTTACAGGAAGGGGAGTGACTCTACAGCAACTGCCTCCAGCCGAACCACAAACACATATGGTGACCACATGCAAGGCAAAAGCTTGGAAACTGCCATTGTTTCATCATTGACTTTAACTTAAAATCTGAACACTAGTCTTCATACTCTAATAATTAAATAATGAAATTCTGCTCTTTAAACTTTGATTGTAGTGATTCCTTCTGATCCATTAAAATCCATATCATCTGTTGTCAGCCTGGTAGAAGCTATGCTTATACTTCTCTCTCTTACTACCTCTCACAGTCTTACAGTGTTTCAACCTATCATCAAAATGTCTGACCAAGGAGCTTCCCCAACCCCTTCTGCTCCTCCACCTCCTCCTACTGGACGTCCTCCTAAGGTTGGCATCCGTGGCCGAGCCTCGGCTCCCTTCGATAGCTCAAACCTTGATGCAACAGACATGCCGGAGTTAGAGTACTTTGTGGCAGCAGGGCCAAGAGGATACCCTCCTCTGACAGGTGAGGACCTGAAACGGTAGCATCTGTTAGCACATATGCAGTAATAAATAGGAATATTAAAACTACACTTGGCTTAAAATGTGAGAAAGAGAAAGGGTTGATGCAGAAGAATAGACTGCTTCCTCAGAAGCTCTGTGAAGATAAAGACTTCTGCCTGTAAGTGACAGTTTTTCCGTTAGTCTTTGGACATGATTGATGGATGAGTGACGTGCAAACTAGATGAAGTGTGCAGACTTCCTGCTGCTGCAGATCTCTGCCAGCAGAGATGTCCAGATGACACAAAACTTTATAAATAGACTAACTGGAAATTTATTCAACTGCTGCAAATAACTACATGTGAATATATTGGCAGGGGGTTCAAGGGCAGAAGATTTTAATTTAGCAGAACTTAAATTTTTATTTAGTTTGAAGTTTGGGAATGTGTTAAATAAGCTTCAGGAAATGTTTGCAGAGGAAAAAAAAATAATTGATATTTATTAGTAGATTAAATATTGAAAGGTTTTTCTGGACTATAATTTTTCAGTGGCTTAACTATTGCTTTTTTAAACACCTCCAATTTTGTTGACTCTTCAAAGAGTCCTTTTCTCTTGGAGCCAGAAAAAAATTTAAAACTGCACTAAGCAGTTCATTATTAGGCATTTAAATGAATATAACTTGCACAAAAAGTAGTTTTCTTGCTTTTCCTTCATCAGAATCTTTAAGAAAATTTTTTAAACTTTGTTTTTTTCCGTTTCTTCCCCTTCTTGTCCATTCAGAATACCTGGACATCTGGGATGTGGACATGATGAGGGGGCGTGATCAGAGCAATAAGATTGAACACCACACCAACCTTTACCAGTCTGACAATCTCATTGTCCGCCGAGGTCAAGAGTTCACGGTCAAGATCACCTTCAACCGTCCATACAAACCTAACCAGGACAAGTTTGCTGTCGAATTTGTCATTGGTAAGATATTTCCAGATAGAAGTCTCAGTGTGGGATTGATTTCCCCGAGATTCAGTTAAAGTAGTCAGCAATTAATGGCACCACAACTTCTAATTCAGAAAGATTATATAGTACCTGGAATCCTTGACAAAGAGACCTTCAAAATATATATTCCCTGAAATATTCTTCACTAGTTTTAATTTAAGTGCTTTTATTAAATGGGGGAAAACAACAACACTGCACACTAGATGATTGTTGCATAGTCACCAGTGCTAAACCTTCTGCCACCATGTTAAATTACTTGATTGATAATTCAGGAGTTCCTGGAGGTATCCTTCTAATCCCTCTGCAAAAAGGGCGAGCTTAGATAACTTGCTATTTAAGTAAGTGTGTAATGGTGTTTGCAAATAAAGGAAACAGCTGCACAGAAATAGCTGCTATTTAATTTTAGCCATGTCTATAGTCAGACAAATACAAGCTTAAAACAACTGGAACTGTAAGCAAAACTGAAGAAGGACTGAAATCTATCTGGCACACATGGAGGATGATAGGAGACATTTAAAAATTCTCTACACAGTTTAATCTTGCAAAGCGGCTGCAAATGGAGGCATCTCGTGGTTGCTATATGTAAAAAGTTAGGCACAAACTATATGGAAAATACTGTGATAGAGTAATAGAAGAAAAGCCGGATTTTCAGTCTGCATAAAAATAACAAAATAAGTGAGTTAAGAATTGTAAGAATTGTACTGTACAGTGCTTTTACAATATAAATACTGTGCATCTTGAAAGAATAAATAACCAATATACAGCTAAAAACATTTTTACAATAATTTATATGTGAAAAATAGCAGCATGTTGTATAAGTGACTAAGAAAACTGCAAGAATCAGCATAAATGTAGCAACTTATTGAGGATGTTGGGAACAGTGATGGTGTTACAGCTGCCTAGAGGAAGGATCTGTGAAAACGCTCCCTTTTTTGCATTTAGGGTGCAGCAGTCTGTCACTGACGGAGCTCTCCACTTCAGCAAAAGCTTTATGCATGGGGAAGGAGGGAGACATTATCCAACAGAGATGTTATTTTAGTTAGGGTCCCTTTGTTTCCCACCTCCTGCACCTAGTCCAGGGGACATCTAAACACAGCGCTGGCCTTTCTGATTTGGTTTTGATAAATTTACCTGATGAATAGGAAAACGTCTTTAGCAGTAATGCCAATAGTTGTAAGTGTTTACTACCCCATGCACTAAAAACCCTCTGATTCTTCTTGTTCTCTCAGGCTCCAGCCCTCAGTACAGCAAGGGCACCTACATTCCTGTGTTTCCCACCAGAGAACGTCAGAGCACCTGGGAAGGCCGCATCACACATACCAATGACAATGTGGTCACCATGGCCATCACTCCTCTGGCCAACAGCATTGTGGGCAAATATCACATGTATATTGCAGTGCAGACTCCTTTTGGCATTCGTAGGACAAAGCGGGACAACAGCAGAGATTTATACATCCTTTTCAACCCTTGGGTAGCAGGTTTGTTTACCATACGATACATTAGATTTGATTTTGTAGGCGTTTTTAAAGTGCAACGTTGGACTATTGTTCTTCCCATAGAGGATGCCGTGTTTCTGGATGATGAGGCGGAGAGACAAGAGTGTGTGATGAATGAGATGGGGATCATCTATCATGGCTCCTACGACGATGTTTCTGAGAGAAACTGGAACTATGGACAAGTAGGAGAAAAATATATTTACATATTTTCTGATTTCTTTAAGGCTCTGATTTTTTTTTTTTTTCCATTTCACCTCTTAGTTCAACTATGGAGTTCTGGAGGCCTGTCTGTACATCATGGATAGGTCTGAGATGCCACTCACCAACAGAGGAGACCCCATAAAGGTGACCAGAAAGGCCTCCGCCATGGTGAGGAACACTTAAAAAAAAAAACGTCTCAAGAAAATATTAAGTTTAAAAATGTCTTTGAAATGATAGAAACGTTTTCTTTGCAGCTGAACGCACGCGACGATGATGGTGTGCTGGTGGGGAACTGGACCGGTGACTACACCTACGGAGTAGCACCCACTTCCTGGACTGGCAGCACCGACATCCTGCTTGGCTACGCTAGCAGCAAGATGCCAGTATGCTACGCTCAGTGCTGGGTCTTTGCTGCCGTCTTTAATTCCTGTGAGAGCTTGTTTTCGGTGTTTGAGTATTGTCCTCCAGCCCTATTCAAATGATTACTTACCACTAGAGCTCGACAAGAAAAATTCAGTGTGCCTTTGTCAGTACTGATTCTTAGGCTTATGTCCTCTCATTACACTCTGAGCTTATTTTCAAACGTTTAATGATCTGAAATTAATGTGTAAACTCATCAACATCTGCATATTCATCAATATTATGAATAGACCATGTATAGTGGGATAAAGAGTTTACAATTAATGTCTTTTTGAATATATATATAAACTTTGCACACCAAAGTCTGAGTTTATGACTAACATTACATTCCGTTTTGAAAAGGCCGCCTTATTATGATCTGAGAGGGTGAATGAGATAAGCAGAATTTGATGATTATCTTTGTTAATATTATTCTTTTATTCTTATGAAACATGCTTTTTTCTTTTATTTAAAATTGAAAACTGACAGAGAAAAGTAAATTATACCTAAGCAACAACAACCACTTCCTAAGCTAAATGCTTTCCGAAAGATATGAAACTTATCAAAGACAAAATCCTTTAGGGAAATTCATATGTATATTTACACCAAGTACATTATCCCTGAATTATATCTGTTAAAATTTGGTCCCATTTCTGTGTTCCAGTCCTGCGCTGTCTGGGTATCCCATCCAGGGTTGTCACCAACTATTACTCTGCTCATGACAACGATGGAAACCTGAAGATGGATATTATTTTGAACGATAACGGCAGCATTGATCGAAAACGCACCAAGGATTCAATCTGGTATCAAATGCTCTCTTCATAGATCTTTAAGTTTTATCTAATCTGTTCTTGAACTCCGTTAGATGGAGGCAGGATGTTATGCTTGTTAGGATCTTGCTTCTTATTGCGATACAGATCCTATCTAAGTGATTTGTTGTTTTTGAAGGTCTGGCAGTTTTCAGGCTTTGTGTGACAAGATACATTAGATTGTTGATTGTAGTTACTTGCAGTATAATTAATAAAGAAGGTGTTTACTTATAAATGGTGCCATTTTTTCCTGAAGTGATTGAAATAATCGTTAAAAGATGCTTTTTTTATTGTGTTATCTTTAATATTAAAACGCGTTTGATGATCTTAAACATTTAAGTGTGCATAAAAACAGAAAAGGACCTGTGACCAGTTACCCCGGCACTGTGCTCTCAGTTCACTTCATATCTGGACTTCATTGAATATTCTCTTCTGCTTTCCTGATTACCTAGTTTGTGTTGGAAGCAAAGATCCATGAGCTGGATCCACTGGTCAGGGTCAATCCATTGCATTATTGAGAGCAAAGGACACTTTAGTTAACAGATAATCATCTTACTAAAGTTGGACAATTGATTCATTTTCTACAATTCAGAAATCACATTAATGAGAAATTTGTTTTATTGTATTTGCAGATGCTATAACAATTATTTCAACCTTCTTGGGGCATTTAGAGTTGCTAAGAACATGTATTTTAATGTATTAACTGAATTTTTCACACTGTCCTCAGTGATGTAGAGAAAACCAAGACTGACAGAAAAGGTCCTGTGTAAGAAGTTAGACTGTTAGAGCTTTTCTGACTTTCTTTGATTTAAAAACAGTTTTCTTTTTTAGGAACTATCACTGCTGGAATGAATGCTACATGTCCAGACCAGACCTCCTGCCAGGTTTTGGAGGCTGGCAGGTTGTGGATGCAACACCACAGGAAACCAGTGATGGTAAATGGTCTTCCTATGAAACTAGCATACAGTCTTCTTCACAATTATTAGCCTAGAAATGCAACTTTAATTTGAAGTAATTGGTCGATGCAGGAGAATATTTTTAGAATCACATCAGAGAAGTCCAAGCTTAAATCTAAACAGATTTCCAACATTGAAATAAATGCTTTGAGCCTAAGCATTGGTGCCCTGGCTCTTTGCAGCCCTGGTGATAATATTTTGCAAATGATGCAACAGGAAATGTGACCTCTTATCTACAAAAAAAAAAACATGTGCTTATAAAATCATCAGTGGAATTTGGAGTTGTGGGATACAATGCTTTTACACGGTTATGATCAGTCATTGTGTCTTTGGCAAGATGCCGGAATTTCATGAGTGAAGTGTTGATGGTTTTCTGAGGGCTTGTTTACAGTAGCCTGGCTTCTGTTTGGCTGTGACTCGATCCTGGAAAGAAATATCAGCTGTGCTGCTGCCATCAACACCTTTGTTTATAGATGTTGGAAATTGGACTGTTTTTCAGTGTAGTCCTGTTTCTCTGACTGTGACTGGCTGGATGTGCTCTCTTTATCCTCTGACATGGGAGCTGGCTTGGAGCTCGTCTGCCTGGCTGTGTGTTTCCTGGACGGGGCTGCCTTTTACAGCCGCTTTTTGTATCTCTGCTTCTGTCTCCTTGCACCCCAGTCGGCCTCAGCAGATGGCCAACTGGTTTTCCTTCGATAGAAAACTTTTAATCAATTAGACTGTATGATCTGGTTGAATTGTAATGTGCCTTGAGATGATGTTGTGAATTGGCGCTATATAAATAAAATGAAATAAACTGAATTGAATCCTGTCAGCATACCCTGGATCAGCTGTTGCTATAATGTATCAGAGATTCAGGGATTTATTACCACTGTTATGCTGACGATACTCAGCTGTATTTGTCTTTAAATCCAGATAAGTGTGAACATAAGTGTGTGGTGTTCATTTTTGACACTTTGAACTATGTTTAGATAAATTCAGCCCTAATAAGTGTTGAATTTCATTTTTTTTCTTCTTTTCTCTTTTTGATTATTCATTAAGAGTTTTGTTCCAACTCTCTCACAGTGTAAACTGTTTAGCAATTTCAAACATGTTATTTCAACTCAGTCTAGTCTGGCGAATATAGAACATGTAAAAATTGATTATAAACTGCCTTGGGGTTGAATTAACGCCTCAACCTTGGGCTGGAGGTAAGGTGTGGCATTTCACAGAAGGAATTTCACACACCTTCCTTACTTGTTTTGAATTAGAACTAGTATGCTGGTTTCATAAAGCATACGCCTGTCAGAGGCCAAACAAGCAACCAAGAACCCCATCATGTAGATAACACTGTCTTTTCACATCACAGCAGTTGATATATCAACATCACAGGTTTCTCTGAGCTTACACAGCATGCTCAGAGATTGAGGCTCCAGACAAGCTTGGATTTAATTAAACATCCTCGACCTAATGTTGTCTACATCATAACTGGCTAAGCCGGATACATGTCAGATTACATGAACTCTGAAAGTAGTTGTTTTGCCTTGGTATGATACTACTACATTTCACCTCTTCATCATTGCCCTATAAAAGTATTTAATTATTGTTAATTTAAGGTATGGATTTGTAATAAACTACTGAGGTTGTTTAAGAGCTTAATATTAGTGGGACGACTTCATCATCTCTTCCTTGTCAGGACATTTCTTTGATCATGAAACATATGAAACACACGAGGCTCTCAAAATAAAAGGTTTCCTAAAAATGGGGCTAAATCTAGTTTGACAACATTAGAAAAAAGTTTTGATAAATCCTAGTAAAATGTAGGAAACTCATCCTTAAACTTTTGAATTTTTTTTTACCTCCCTGACCATCATCATTGTGAAATGTGATCTCCGTGCTTATTGGTTAGAACTATCTCATTTGTTTAGAGCTATGAAGAAATTAATAAATTGCAATGAAAGATATATTCAATTTAAGGTCTTTTGAAGATCTGCACTAGTGGTACCAATAGGCGATGAAGACACAGAACTTTGCAAATTAACTAAGTATGTTTGGACCTTGAATGTATATGAATGCAAATGTACTGAATCTTGTTTTCCTTGCTGCTTTATTTGTGAAGGGATGTACCGATGTGGACCTGCATCAGTCCTGGCCATCAAACATGGACAAATTTGCTTTCCATTTGATGCACCCTTTGTGTTCGCTGAGGTTAGTTTATTCACCTCTAGAGCCTTTAAGAAGCCTTTGAACTTTCTGGAAAATTACTATAAAAGTAAATATATTCAACATCCATATTATGTTTTGTGACCAACAGTCATAAATTTAGGCATTATTTTTTTTTCCTGTCTTTCTTCCATGCAGGTCAACAGCGACGTTGTGTTTTATGCACGGAAGAATGACGGCACCATGGAGCCAGTTAAACTGAACCAAACTCACGTGGGTCGCATGATTTTAACCAAAGCTGCGGGAAGCGAGGGTTGCAGAGACCTCATTGATCAATACAAGTTTCCTGAAGGTCAGTGATCACATCGAACTCAGGTGCCAGTGTTAATTGGAGCAGCAGCAGAAATCTGTTTTCTGCTGCTGACAAACAAAACAAACCTCACACAAGGCAACACAAAGAGAAGATTAAATTAACAAATTATTGTAGGTAAAATGCAAGAGTGCAAGTATGAAGTCAGAATATTTTTTCTAAAACATTAAGGTAGTGCATAAAATCAATAAAATTGGCTGGAATTGACCATTTGTGCAGTTTTTATTTAAATACTGCATGTCATCTGTTGGACTCATTGTAATATTTGGTATATAAAAATAATTCTGACATCATTTCGAAAAGATAATTTGGACCATTTTTATCCACAACTACCTTTTCCAAAGCCTTTTCACATATAATATAAATGAATCCCTTCACTTTATTAAAGATTATACCTGTGTTAAACTCTTTAATCTATTGCAGGGAGCCCAGAGGAGCGGACTGTCCTGGCAAAAGCAGAGGAGTTTGGCTGTAGGCGGGAGAAATCCAGCCCCCCAGAGGCTGATGTGGAAGTGGTCCTGCCTAACCTGGAGATCAGTGTTGGGGATGATCTGGAGCTTAGTGTGGAGTTTTCAAACTGCAGTGACCAGAAGCGCACGGTGGAAGCCTACGTCAGTGGGAATGTGGTTTATTACACCGGAGTCTCCAGCAACGAGTTCTTGTTCAAGACCCCCACTGTGACCATTCAGGCCAAAAAGAGTGAGTAGAGGCTGACATGAGAGGAGAGGGGAGCGGGCTCAAGACTAAGAAAAGAGACAAAGACATATCACATAATTACAACTTCTAATTTTCATAAAAACATATGAGCACATGGGGATGATCATCATTGCACTTTAATGATAATAACACAGAAAAAAATCCATATGTTGCACAAGGAGAAACAGGTTATACAGTATGGACAGGTTAAGAGAATTGCATTGAACAATGACAGCAATTAATCTTATACCAAGAGATACATGGAGAATAACACTGAATGCAAGTGAAATTTGGAGAAACTGTGGAGCAGCTGAAACATAAGACAAAGAGGAGGATATGGGAGGAATAAATATATGTATTTATTTTAAATCACAGAAGTTAAATTTTTGAAAGGCCATGGTTTTTAAGAATATTTTAACAGGGGAGGGGGATAAGTAAGAAAAGAGACAAAGAGAAAAAATTACATATGTTGCACTAAGAGAAACAGGATATACAGTATGGACAGGTTAAGACAATTAAGCATTGAACAATGACAGTAATTTATGTTATACTGAGGGATGCATGGAGAATAACACTGAATGCAAGTGAAACTTGGAGAAACTATGGAGCAGCTGAAATATAAGACAAAATGTTGGATAAGGGAGGAAAAATATAAATATATATATTATATACATATATTAAATCATCGCAGAAATAAAATTTTTGAATGGCCATGGTTCTTAAGAGCAGTCTTAGAATTTTCAGAAGGGTTTACCATTTATTTTGATATAATCGTAAAATGATTAGGCACTAAAACACTCAAACAACATCTGATCTGCTGATACTCATGTCTCCCATATGTTGAAATATGTTTTTTTATTCCACATAGAAAGAACTATTGGATCAATGTGGACTGAGAGGGTGATGACCAAGAAAGTTTCCACATGATCAAAAAAGTTTTTATAGTAAGAAGAGAAAAATGTTTAACTGTGTGTAAACAATGGCTATAAAGAGATTTAGAGACTCAGGGTAAGAGAACAATAATGTAACTCTACCAACTGTGATGCAGGGTAATGGCAGCACCATGCTGTGTGTCTACATCACTGATTACAGGTGTATAAGGACTTCTTAATCAAAGTGTAATTGTTGCAGGTGTGAGGGAGCTAATTACGGTTCAGTCGAAGGACTACATGGATCATTTGGTGGAACAAGCCAACCTCCACTTCATTGTCACTGGGAAAATCAAAGAAACTGGCCGTATCGTGACTGCCATGAAAATCATCGCTCTGCACAACCCCAAACTCACTGTCGAGGTAAGATAATTGGTACAATTTAAATCTGTTTGAAGTCTGAAACTATGAGGACATCTTTGGAGTCTGTGATCCTTCTGTATGTTGTATAAACTGCAGCTGACCGGCAGTGCCAAAGTGAATGAAGAGATGATGGCTACTGTGCAGTTTACCAACCCCTTCTCATTCAACCTGGAGGAAGTGTACCTGCGCATGGAAGGAGCTGGGGTCATGGAGCCCAAATCCAGATATTACAGGTGAGCATGGCAGGCAGAAAATACATAGGAATTTTCCTTTAAATAAAATGTCTTTATTGTAATCTGCAACTACAGCCTTGCATTTTATCTATATCAAAACATATGATAACATTTTATCCAACATTCCCTTGAGTTTATCTCAGAATCATAATTCGTTTACATTACCCTTTAGGTTGTGCAAGAATTAAAATTTGAGTAGAAAAAAGCTGGGCTTTAAAGTTTAGACAAACCCTCAATCAAAAAGATAACATTAAATTTAAATTTATACATAGTAAATTTATACATTGTTAAATTTCTATTATTTTTATATTTCTAATAAAAAAACTTTTCAGCTTATAACTAAAATGAAATACAGTAATGAGCTTCTGAGTTATGCTGTTTTGATTCAATATTTCCAAAATGTACATCTTCTGACAGGAGTCTGGTATGTCTGGTTTGTAATGAAAAACTTTGCCGTTCACAGTCTGATCCCCGGAGGCTCCTCTCTGACTTGGACTGAGATGTTTTCTCCACAGAGGACTGGGAAAACTAGAGTGATTGCTACTCTGGACTGTTCTGCTCTCAGACAGGTGTCTGGTCAGGCGTCCATCACCATCAATCCATGAAGATAACCAAGCCATTACTACTCTGTTAAAGCATACAGTGCTGTGCAGAAGCTTTAAAGATACCTTTATTTCCTTTATTCTCAGCTACGTAAGTGGAAAAAATAAACGAGGCCCAAAGTAAAACTTTATAAAGTATAGAGAACTGTTGATATATTGACAATTGCAGGATTACAATCTCAAGATGAAGAAATTAGTGATGACTGAAAGCCTTTGTAGAGTAAAGTGCTTCAGCCTAATTAGAGGAATTTACATTCATAAGAATTGACAATAAATTAGATTTTTACCTTTAACATTCACATAATTTCACAAATACATTTTATGTTTTTAGGCAGTATAGATCTTGACTTCAGGTCCCTGTTTTGTGTTCTTTTTATTTGACCACTAGGGGGCAGAGTGACTTTAAAAATAAAAAGGGAATTGTGCAAAATTTTGAACACTTTCTTATTGGACAAGTTAACAGAAAAATAATTTCAGGCACAATTCTCTTTAAATATGCAGCAAGTCCAGTATACTGCTATATATATTCAGAAATATTTAAGCAGACATATAGTCTCTATGCAATGTAACAGGACCCAGTTTATATCTATGTGCTTGCTGTGGCAAAGACAAGAGGTATAAAAGCGGTTGCCTTAAAAATATGCACACACAAAAAAAGTATACCGAAGGCTTTTCTGTACCTTTATTTGGTTTTTGCATTTCGCTTTTTTATTTTCTGTAAAACCTACATCAAATCATTTCCGTATGTTATATAACTCTGTACTGAAAAAGATATATTTATATCAATCATCATATTCATCATCATCCTTTCTTTGCCTGGGAATTAAGAAACAATTCAAAACAATAAAATATTAACAACAGCGATATTTCATGTGTTTTATTTTACCTTATTCACCTTCAGCAAAATATCTTTCAAAACATCACACAAAAGACAAATAAATTCTTCAGGAATAATTTGAATATACCCACTTTACCTACCAGAGGGTAGGGTACCAGTTACCAGTAACTGCCTTGTTTATTTCATACATAAATTTATAAACAAATCAGTTTGAAACACATCCTCCATTTATATATTTGTTTTAAGTTTTGTTAGTTATAAATTCTCTGCACCCAATGATCTTTATACCTTTTAAACATCCTTACTTTAACTATTAACAGATAACAACATATGGCTGTAAATTAAACTTAAATCACAAAGAGAAAATACAATATCTTTAGACCAGGAGAACCTGTCAGCTCGATCTTAAAGAAATCTTCCTTGTAAGCATTTCATCTGGCATTAGAGCAACTTAATTTCATAACCTTACCGTTTTACATCTTTATTTTATGTCAAATGGCACCCAACTGATATAAACTTCAACAGCAAGACTGATTACAGCTACATAATAGATCTAAGGAGATTGGCAGGATTTCTGGGTATGGCCTCAAACCCCCATGCTGCTGCAGCAAAAAATGAAACTGGACATACCATAGAGTCAAGGTGGAAAAGGTTAAAAAATGAAGGTCAAAAAAAAATTCAATAAAATGAAAAAAAAACCAAAAACCCCCACCGGTGAAGTCAAAACCAATTAACGCAACAACAAACCAAAAAGGTCTACCATAATCAAAAAAATCAACACAATTTCCACAACAAGCACAAAATAATCACAAAAACACAAAACAGATAAAACAAACAAAAAGAAAACAAACTCAGAAGAAAAATTCAAAACAGTTAGGAAAATAAAAAAAAAACAAAAGAAGAGCGGTGAAAAAACCACACCCCAGGTGGAGGCCAAAAGCACAACCAAACAAAAGACACTACCGGGGAAAAACAAAGGGAAGCAACAAAAAGAAACTGAAAAAAAATAATCAATGTCACACAAACACCAGGATGAACAAACCAAAACAAGAGTGGCCCCAGTGAAACAAAACAGGTATCTCTTGTAAATTAGATTTTGGATATCAAGCTCTATAAATAAATGTGAATAGAAAGTATCTAAAAAAACAGATCAAGTTATTTTTTTTTAATCAGCAAAATAGTTGAAAGTAGTTTTCCTTTCATATAATCATGCTATCACTACTGTGGAAAAACAGAAATATGATCAGTAAAGGCTTGATTCTTTCGAAAGCAATTCTGCTCATAGACCAATACAACATATGCTTCCAAGAAATTGACTTATTCCACAAAAAATAAAAAATACCATTAAAGAATCATGTTTGAAATAAATAATTGAAAAAAAATCTTTTTTTTTTATTTAAAGGGAAACGCCAGTTTTTTGCATGGGCCCCTTGATTTTATGTTATTACATCCTTTTCTACTCACCCATAGGAGTTTTGTGTCATTTGGAGCTGTTCTGAAGATTTTCCATTAGGTTATATCCAAATAACGTCTTCCATATGGGCAAATGACTTGAAGGAACAAACTAAACTGTTCATAATGTATTCTTTATGGTACGCCAGCATTCATAACATGTAGGCAAATCTCTGTCCCCCAGACATCCGTGGTTGTATTTTTTATATTTATATTTTTTTAAATCAAAGCGGAGTGTGTATGGCGTCATCCACTCCAAATGACACAAAACTCGTATGAGTGAGTAGAACATGATGTAATAACGTAAAATCAAGGGTCCAATGTAAAAAAAAAAAAAAAAACACTGTTCCCCTTTAAGTGAAAACTTAAACTGGAAGAAACCTTCAGAAGAATCAGGGAGGGTGCTGCCTTCTGCCTAAATCAAATGGGGTTTCAGATGACAGATCATACAATAAAAAGAAGCTCAAATTAAATTCGAAAGAATGTGAAAGAAATATAACAAGCTAACCCAGAGTTTAAGTAGCTCATTTAGTAGCTTCATCTATGAGGTAAACATAGCTAAACAGATGAGCTCTAAGATACTGTTCAGGTCTAGAAGATGAAAAGAACAGGGCCAGAACAGTGCGTCTAGGGGAGAGACAAAATTCAGAGCATCATTAGACTATCATCTACAATAATGAAAACATGAAGTTGCCACCAGTAGCAGAAAGACTGATCTTATGGACTTAATGCCCAGTTGTTATTGAAAAAGGTTGCTGAAAAAACGGGTCTGAACAAAAAATGGTGTCTTAAAGAGCTTTACCCAAGACCTAAAGTTGTGAAAGATGTTTACAAGTTTTTCTATTTTTGTTTCTGTCAAAATTATATAAGAGCCCTGATGAGTTAAAGAAAGTTTGAATGTATTGCGTTACTGAGAGTTCATCCATCTCAACTAAACAAGGTGTCATCAAAACTTGAACATTTAGAATATAGAAAAAAAAATTCTTGCAAAAACTCAAATATTAAACCAAAATTATAAATTGCACTCGTACTTGTTGTCTCCTGCGTATTCCAGGACCAGGTCATGGGGTAGCAGTGTCAGTAGAGACTCTCAGACTTCCCTTTCCAGAGATACCTCCTCCAGCTCTACTAGGGGAAGCCCGGGTGCTAGGTCATCCCCTGGGCCTCCCTCCCTGGGGACGTGCCCTGGGAGCCTCCTGAGGGAGGTGTCCAGGAGAAATCCGACAAAGATGATGGAGCAACCTCAGCTGACTCCTCTCGATGTGAATGTGAAGTGGCTCTACTGTCAGCCTTTCCCGGGTGACTGAGCTCCTCATCCTATCTCTGAGGGAGAGCCAAGCCACCCGGCAGAGAAAGCTCAGTTCAGCCGCTTGTTGCAAGGATCTTGTTCTTTAGGTGATGATGCATTTTATGACCTTAAGTGAGGATATGAACGTAGACCGGCACTCCTTAACACCCTGCACAAAAAGTCTGTGCAAAAATTACTAAAAGAGCCATTCCTGAAAAGGGTGTTTGTTTTACAGAATTTTTTTTTTGAAGAAATTGAAACTGAAAGTTTTTTACGTACGAACAAATGATATAAAAAAGCTACAAATGTCACATTCTTTGTGTTAAGCCTTCTTAACCAAAGACTTGATTATTGCTCAAGGGTCAACTTTTTTTTTTTTTTTTAATGAAAGTAATTAACACAATTTCCATTTCATTTGTATATTAAGGGTGAGGTGAGGGTGAGTCCCATCTACACAATTGAATTCACTCTGCAGACTGGATTCACCAGGTTCAATGTCTGGGCAGAAATAATACATATAATAATAATAATACATAGAGATACAGTAATTTCCTGGTTCCACATCACCCAACTCTGGCTGCTTGTGTAGGTTCACTGTGTTGATAGTGTAGCTATCTACCAGGACATTTTCAGAGCACTTGGTGCTTCCCTCTATCACTAATCACTGCAATGTTCATTTCAGTGCCAGTCAACACTGTGGTAACAAAAGCTGGTTTAATGACCATGGTTTAGTGTGCTTGACTGACAAGCAAACTGGACCTACCTGAATCCCATAGAGAAGCTGTGGAGTATTGACAATAGAAACATGAAACACTAAACCCTACAATGTAGATAATCCAAGAAATTACTGTCATTTCTAACAACCTAGGCTTCCATTACACCTCAGCATGATCACAGACTGATCGCCTCCATGCAATGCTACAGCCATGCCATAATTAATGTAAAAGAGGGCCATATACTTCAGATGCATGGCATTTCTATATAAAAATTCCTTTTTTTTTAAATCAGTTACTTTTGATTTTTCTGAGACATTAATTTAGTGTTTTCTTATCCATATGAAATAATACTCGCACAATGCATAAAGGTTTAAAAAGTTCATTGTGTAAGTCTTAATGGATCTATATAAATTTCCTTTAGTAAAAGAAACAAACATTACAATATTGAAATCTTTAGAGAGGCAATCGTATAACGTACTACTCCACTTCACTAAAGCAGTTTCACATTCAGAATTAGAAAGAAAATTCATTATTAGTCCTATGGTGATTACTGAAATTAGATGTTAAGCTATTATGTTTTGTTGTTTTACCCAACGTATATTTTATTCTGTCAGGTGAAGTTGCAGAGGACTTTGTAGTAACAAATTAATTCAAAAATAACCAACTCGTTCTGTTGAGAGAAATATGGTTTTATTTCTGCGAAAATACTTTTAGTGAGATCAGAAATTCCAGGAGTTCAACATAAAAACATCTCTTTAGCTGAAAGATCAAAAGTCTAAGATTATTTCAAACCATAAC